ACGATTAAAGATCTTTTAAAGTTTATTCCATTAAAAGGACAGACTACTGGGCAGAACTTGTTTTCTTCTTTTAAAAATATTATTTCTTTTGAGAAAACTACAATATCGAAAATGGTAGGCTTGTCAAACGATGGCGCTCCAGCTATGGTGGGTCGTAATAAGGGTCTCGTGGTGTTATATCGTAAAGATGAAAGTTTTCCGCAATTCCTGTTACCACTTCATTATCCATCAGCAAGCATTATGTGGACATTTTCTAAAACTAAACAATGTTATATGAAACTGGTAGTAAAAATTGTGAACAAGATTAGAGCTCAAGCGTTACAAAGATGATTATTCAAAATCTTGGCCGATGAAATTGACTGTCAATACGGGTAACTACTTACTCACTGTGATATCCGATAGTTAAGTAGAGGATGAGTGCTGAAACGTTTTAATGATATATCTGCCATAGTTCAATTTTTCAAACAACGTGACGAACCGATTCCGGAACTGGAAAATTCAATCTGGCAATTTGGTTTTCTTATAGAAAAACTAAATGAACTTAATTTGCAGCATCAGGGGAGAGACAAAGAACTAGCAAAAATGATTTCTGAAAAGCGTTTATCAGGAAGCTTGATTTTTGAGAACAAAACTTAATCGATGGCGATACCAGTCATTTTTCTGTTCTTTCAAAAAGATATCTCAAAGTCCATTAGAATCGTAAGACAGCAGATATCATCAGTCTCTAACTTGAAGAATAACTTCAAAAATCATTTCAAGAATTTCAGCGAAATTGCTATAGTGACGCAATTTGTTGTTTCACCTTTCATGGAAATTGATATCGAACAGTTTGCACCTTCTATTACACAGAATTTTAGCGAAGACATCGCTGCGACAGAAATGGAAGTGATTGCGTTTCAAAATGATTTTGCTTTAAAATCATTAGTCTCAAATACAAAATGTATCTGGCCTTCAGTAAGTAAAGATAAATATTCAGTTTTATGTAATGTTACTTATTTGTGTGAATCTTTTTGAAATTTGAAGTTAATTAAAAACAAATACCGTATTCAACTTACAGATGAACATCTGGATATTTGGGTTCGAATGGCGGTATCAAATTATGCTCCAAATATTAAAAAAATTGTCAGTGAGTCTGAGCGTCAGGCTTCTCATTGAACACGCATTTTTTATCTGGACATATTTTTGTCTGAAATACTGACTTTTTTTATTTTTAGTTACCTTCATTAAATGTAAATATGTGACATGCCGAAAAATTTTGTTTATTTTTCAAACACCTACGATTGGTAGAAATGGATGTAGTTATGTAGTATGTATTACTTATTAATTTATTTAAGTTTATTAGTATGTATTCGTATCTATTAGTAAAAAAACACATGTCTGTCGCATACAACTGTGTATAATTTCATTTCAGTTATCAAAGTTATCAAAGTAGCTCAACACATTGAAGAGGTTGGCGACCACTGCTCTATTATATGCTATCACTCTGTATGAAATTAGGTCCACATAATGTCCAATTTTGTTCCAACTAATCGTGGTCTGTCTGGTTATATATGAGACATCGTGCTTCGTCAAAAATTAGTGCTTTAAACTAGCAGTGCGCTTTGACTAATAAGGTAACTTTTCTCATAAAATTACCTTCTAGTATTCAGTTTCTCATAAAATTATCTTCTCCTATCTTGTCATGATCATAGATATAACACAACGGCCAACTAAAAGGCAAGGACATAATTATGGCATTTCTTCAAGGAAAAACAAGACGTTCTTTATGCTCTGTCGTATTTACAAAGAAGGGTCCGCGGCAGTCAGCCATTTTAAAATGTAAATTTAAAGTGAACCCTGTCGAGCAGAATGCTTTTTCCAGGTCTCCACTTCCAGTACTTTGCTAATAAAGAATCGTTTCAAAGCTGGCGCATTTTAAAAGATTTTCTTTGAAGCTGGAATATTTATATTTCTCTTTTCTTGCTCGGAAAAGGATCCACGCTCCACTTGGCAATTTTCAAGGAAAAATATCGCCTTTTAACGTGAACTGCTTTGCTTGCTTTTGATAGTTGCGTTTCTTATGTGCAGATATTTATGCGATAGTATAGCCCAAGAAGCAATGTCGAAAAGATGCTACTCATAGTTCCCTCGTGTTTTCTGGCCGTTAAATGAAACCTCATATGTAGCATACAGCTTTTACTAGCGTTTCGGCCACCTGGGTGGCACTGTCTACGGGCACTTGAGTCAAAGAAAACGACCGACTACCATGAAGAAATGGACAGTCATTTGAACGATGGTTTGAAGAAACGCTCCCAGAGCTTGACGACAATGCTGTCATTGTACCTGATAATGCTGCATACCGCACTAGAAAACTAGAAAAAATGTCCACAAGAAAATCGGAAATTCAACAACGGCTCCTATCAAAAGACATTCGTTTCAATGAAAATATGGTCAAAGCAGTCCATCTAGTCAGGCAGCACCAATATACTCGAAAATATAATCTTAATAAGACCATTTTAAGGCTACCCCCTTATCATTGCGAATTAAATCCCATAGGAATGATTTGGGCAAACATAAAAAACTATGTGGCTTCAAATAGTAGAACATTCAAATTTTTTTACGTGAAACATTTGAATTATGAAGCTGTCAACAGAGTGACGGCAAACCATTGGAAAAACTGCATCCGTCACGTTCGAAACAAGGATCTGGGATCTGCACAATATGATCGATATTCAAATAGAACCTGTAGTAGTTAGTGTTAAGCATTCGGGCGATGATTCAAGTACAGATCAACAAAATAAGTTCAACACAAGTAAGAACCATCTGAGAAAAAAATTAGCTACGAACATGTACAATAGAGAAATTAGAACCCAGATAGCAGAAGGAGACTTGTACTACAGGGTAATTTTCAGATGTTACATTGAATCAAAGCATGTGTTATTGTTTGATCCGAAGTAGCCTAATGGCATTAATTAAGCTTTTTGACACGAAAATTCCGTTGACAAAACTTTTTTTGTGCAAGAAATGTCACCGTAAACAGAACCTACGTTCCCTTTCCCTTCCAAGAGGTCAACGTGAAAATGAGTAGAACCACTGGTGTATATAGAACTTGTGTTCAGGAGCGGCCTATAGATCTAGTGGGGGGGGGAGGGGGTATTATTAACGACCAAAAAGAAATGGGGTGTTATGCCCAACTTTTTCGAAATCGTAAGTGATCAACTTGACGTAAAAAATATTTATAATTGGCATCTATTTCCCAAAATTATGTGCTATTTCAAACATTTCTCATGCATTCATAAAATGTTTTAAATAATTGTAATAACCTATACACAGACATTGCCTTCTATGGGGTTTTATATCTACTAACTTTACAGGTTCATCTAAATAAATATTATTATTATTTCCAATTAAACAACATTTCGAGAGATACAGATAGTTTTATTTTCATCATTTTTTTTTTTTCAGTTAAAAGCTGAGTGGCAGATTACAAATAATAATGAAAGGAATGACATTTCGGGCGTGAAAAAAAACAGCAATCTGATTATTCGTGCTTATCTGAGAAAAAGAGCTTGAAAATAGCATAAGCCTGCTTTTCCGAAGAAAGAACGTAAATAAGTACTTTTGAAGCATCGTAATTCAAAGGTATTTAAAGCAAGTTGATAAAAACATTAACATGTATATATATCACTATGATAATCGTCGAAAACTTAATTTTTTGTACTTAAGATTCAAAGTAACGGCCCTTTTCCTTTGCTTTGTGAGCCAAACAAAATAAACGCTTTTACGAGCCTCTTCCCACTTCAGTTGGCCCAACTATTGAAATCTTAGTTTTTTTCTTACCAAACACAAATAATAAAAATGTAGCAGTGTGTTATAGGTTTAAAATATTAACAATGAATATTTTGATAATATATAGTAGAAAACACCAACTTTATCACTCCCCATTCAAATTTGCAGCATAAAAATAACACATGTTGCAATTACAGCATATCAACCTATTTTCATTTCAATGCAAAATAAGTCTATAACGCATAGGTGGCTGTGAAAAATAAAAGCCATGACAATTGTTTTTATTAATCACAGCTGTCAGAATACGTTTAAAATACTTTTGGGTAGTTAAGGTATTCAAAATGGGTAGAGGAAAGGTTATTAGTGAGAAAATTCGGTTGCTGATAATTATTTCTTTTAATTCTGGGAAATCAAACTCAGAAATTGCAACTTTGTTAGACTTATCACGGTACAGTGTGAGAAATATTCTTAGAAGATATAACGTAACTGGTTCAGTTAATATTAAGCCACGATATGTGAAAAAAAGTAATATCACAAATGCCGACCGAAGAGCATTAAGAAGAATAATCGTGAAAAACAGGCGTGCAAATTATTTCCAATTAAGTTCTCTGTGGAGTGACGCTGTTGGAAGGAGAATTTCGAGGTACACAACTCATAGAGACGGCCCACAAACTGGGATTTAACACTTGCAAGGTAAGTTTTCTTATAAAAAAAAGTGAAGTAAAAACCCTAAAATTGCACAACTTGTTTATAGGCCAAAGAAAAGCCACCATTAACCTCCTCCTCAACTACCTCAACAATGGTGTGCAATACAATGGAGTGATGAGGCCCGATTCGAAGTTTGTGTTGGTGACAGTCGCAGTAGAGTTATTCGCAAAAAAATGAAGCATTCCATGTTGACTGTCTAAAGAGAAAAGTGAAATTTCCAGCATCCATTATGGTCTAGGGCAGTATGTCATCAAAAGGAGTAGGAAAACTTCATTTTATTGATGGAAATGTGGATACAAACAAATATTTGGCAATTTTAGAAGAACCGCTTTCACCAGTGATGGAAGAATGTTTGACAACCGGCCAAGATTTTGTGTTTCAGCAAGATGGTGCAGCGTGCCATACCTCAAAAAAGGCTATAAAATGGATGGAAGAAAATAATCTACCACTTTTGAAATGGATTTCTAGCAGTCCAAATCTGTCACCTATTGAAACTTTGTGGCACGAGATGAAAAAGGTTCTACGACAACATCCTGCTCGTACAATCACCGAACTGAGACAAAAGCCTCAAGAAATATGGGATTGTTTCACAACAAATTTTTGCCAAAACTTGGTTAACACTATGCCCCAAAGAGTTTCAGCCGTAATAAAAAATAAAGGTGATGTTACCCAATGGTAATCTTTCAATTGTTGCTTTGTTAACTTCGCGCATTTATTCGCACATTGTTTATTTGTTCAGATGATCTATTGGTTATAGGTCTAAGTGATTTCAAATATGTATTTTTTACGACTAGAGTGTATCTAAAATGTTTTTGAGAAAATAAATTGTTTTAGAAGTAAATAGTTTCGTCATGTTTAGTTTATAAAGGTATATTTTGGTACAAATCTTGAAGTGGGCCAACTGAAATGGGAAGGGGCTCGTATATATCTTTCCATACGATACGAAACGCAGCGTTTGAAGCAACCATCTACTAGTTTGAAAAAATCTAGAGCTCTAACAAATGCATTATCGCCTCAAAATATTAAAACCGTTCCAAAACATCCCGTTTTCCAACCATGAAACATGCGATTAACTACTGCTTTGCAGATTTTGGGCTTTAAACAGTTCACCTAAGAATCAACAAATTAGCTTAGAACGTGGTCAAAATTATGTACTGAATAGAAGGGCTGCATGGTTCTACAACTTTTCCCTAAATTGGACTTCAACATAGCTGCTCCCCAAGTGCTTATCAGAAAAAAAGGGAAATTTCGCCGTCATCAATCAACCTTTTCTAAATACAAAGGACATTTTGACCGAAATGGATGCACTTACCAATTTATTTGACAAACGTCAAAGCTATCAGAAAAAGAAAATAGAATAAACTCTACTGGTGATTATACTTCCTTATTTTTGGGAATTAGGCCACTGGATTGAGATGCTGAACTAAATATACGGTAGGTACGGATAGGTTGATCGCTGATTTTCACTAAGCAACACTGACAGGAGGGACGTAATGTTTATAGCATTTTTGAATGTACGTAATAATTATTAAAGAAAGACGAGACGAGAATGATAGTTGTAAAATGGATTATTGCCAGAGATAATAAAGGTTTCCAAAGCCATGGATCATTGCGACATTGCAAAAACGCGTCCTAAACGATTCAGAAAGTTATCAAAAATATCTCCAAAATGAGTGATGGTATAATCTCAGCTCTCTATGTCTGGCTTTTTAGTCGCAAGTGTGACTATATTGCGAACCAGGAGGTAACTCTCAAGAAGCGTTCGTCAATAACATTTACTTTAAAATACTAGTTGACTTTAAGTAGAGGAACATCTAAGAAGGGTTGACTAAAACGTCGTAGCTTAACCGCGGTAACTTAGATTTTTCACTTGGCAGAGGCTTACGTTATCACAGATGACACATCACAAAATGCACATAACACGATACTTTGGGGAGTAGGAGCAACATTGCCGTATCAGCAGTGCTGATAACTTCAAAAACGCATTCACGAGAAACTTATAATCAAAGTTAACCTCGAGGTTAGAGTTAGCTAGCCGGGCCTAGTACAGTTAAAACATTTATAGCGGTTTTTCTGATCTATTTGATTTAACAGTTCTATAATCTTTACCTAAAGAAACATCACGTATAAATAAATACAGGTCTACGGTAACCTTGAACCTCCTTCATCTCAATCTGTGTCCCAAAGCAAATTCTTATTCCTCGCGAACAAAGAAACGGCGAGAAAGAGCCGAAGAGACCCTCTCTCTTCCCCCACGAATAAAAATTTCCATCCCTGAAACAAATCAATAAAACTGAAGAATACAAGGAAACTTTAAAATTCCCCCGCACCTCCTACAATCGGACATTAAGACGGCCGAAATCCGTCTCTCTCGCACTGAGTCTCGCGCGAATAGCTCTGTCCTTTTTGCACTTATTGGTCGCCTCCGCACCGTCGACCCTTCGCAGAAGTGTAAAAGTAGGGTGAAAGAATAAAAGAGGGGCATAAACGCGGGTGGACGGGGTGGAAAAAAGGGGGTGAATTTACATCGGAAAGAGTTGATTGCTTTCCCCCGCACTCGTCGGCCATCTTACTTCTTTATTATTGGCTCTTGCCGCTCTGAGTCGACCGTTAGGGAAGGCTGCCAGATAAAAATTTTACGGTTATGTTTTCTTCTTACTTTTTAATGGCGCTCAATGCTGACGCCAAGCACAATACTGGAATCGTAAGCGAAATTGCATCTATGACTTCGAAAACATATTTTTGCTAATGAATAATTTTCTCCTATGACTAAAACCCAAATTTCTACTATGTTCATGTGATATGTAGGTATACCTATGCCCAAAAAAATAATCGTACAGTATTTTCTGACTTGAGAATCATTTGTAAATTACCTTCTTCTTCCAATGTTTTAGAAAAGTTCCTATAGTCGCAGATTTCGGGCCATTTTAAGAAAAACCATATTCTACCTGACAGTCAGTGTGGACTCTTTGCTGGCAGAAATACTTCTAAATATCTTGCAACCGTTACTCCAGATTTGCTAACTGCATATTTGATCCTATAAGTCACGATGTTACTTGTGCTAAGGTAAAATACTACGGATTCAACTAATACTCGTCATTTCTGATATGGAGTTATTTCTTGAGGAGATCACAAAAGATATCTGTGAACGGAACCTATTCATCACCAATGGACATCCTATCCGGCGTTCCGCAAGGCTCTATTCTCGGTTCACTCTTTCTTATTATATAATCACTGCGAATATCTTGAATGAGTGGAAATGACTTAATATGGAGGATAGACGGAGGACTCATGTAACTTCACTCACAAACTCTTGAGCAGACCTGATCCTCCAAATCTTGCAAATAAGTTTATACCTAGCTCTACAATCTACTCCAGAAACATCAGATATGGAGCCGCCAATCAATTCAGAGCGTACAATATTAATAAGTTCAAATATAAACTTACTACTTGTATTTTTTTTTTCAGCACAACTGTTTTTTATGATGCTGATGACAATTCTGCGCTGCCTTCTTTTATATGTATATATATATATATATCGGCGTCAAAAGCTGAAATCCGTCATTCCCTAATCAATACAGTGTTGCTCCAATGAAGTACATAATATAACAAGGTTCAACTTTATCAATAGTATTAAAAGCAGACCTACCTAATAATCAAGCATGCGTTAATCTAAATGAAAAGAAGAATAGATTAAAGCGTGTTCTTTATTGTTGAGCAAGCTTACGTACGTTATAATTTAGGTTAGGTTAACAAAGTTATAAAAATTAACTTACCTCCTTTAACTCATTTGTATTCCATGGTTTGTTCTTATTCACTCTATCATAGTATTCACTTAGTTTCTTGTAAAACAATTCTGAATGCTGCGACATCTTTACAAAGACAGAAAAGACGATGTGTATACTCAAGCAAATGAACACGAAACCGGTACAATGAATGACTGAATCAGGCAAATGTAGTAACGAAGTTAATGTGGTTGTTACGGTGTTTGACTGAAATTGTTCACTCATTACAGGGAATGACTTAGAAGCTGAGTCAAGCGTTGTAATAATCAAACTGTTACGCTGTTTGCCGGCAATATGGGGACTGACTAGGCATTTCAGAGAATGACGGATTTCAGCGTTTGAGGCCGACATATATATATATATATATATATATATATATATATATATATATATATATATAACAAAAATAGGAAATAATGGGCAAAATACCTTTCTCCGCATGATAATTTTCTCTTTATATATATATATATAGGTATATATATTGTGCAATTATATTTTTTTCTGATGGTTGGGTAGAATAGCTTGAAGCTAGACTCCGTCATCCTCATGATCATTTTATTTATCTGAAGAACATTGTGTTATTTTTATATAGTCAACGCCAAACAAAGTGGCGTGCACGTCATCACGATAAAAATTCCCCGACCTAATGCCTAGGTTTCTATCACAAACAATTGCTCTATTGCAGTTTCATATTAATGTGATATATAAATTGTAAAATGGTCATTACTCTCTTATTATGGTTAATAGTCATATAAACATTGTTATTAAAATATCACATAAGTTGCTTTCTGATAAATTTAGACGCATTATGCGAAATAAAATGTTTTGCAAACGCTCCAATCACTTATCGACATGTAAACGCACTAAACCGATTTCGCAGCGTTGACACATTGTCACCTTGAAACTTATTTAAACTGGGAACTGACATTTGTATTAATTTTGACACTGAATCAATTTGTGGCATTTCAAATCTTTATAAATCCTTTGGCCCCGCATACTGTAAATCAACAACTGTTTGTTTCAAAACAAAATTATTCATTTTACGAGTAGATAAAGGCAATTTTGGTATATAAAGATGCCCAAACAGTTAAATAGTCGGTGTAAGGAACTCGTGGCCTCGTTAATGCACTACTTTGAGCAAGAAAGGGACAACAACGGGCCTTTGTTGCCTTTAAATGCTGTTCAAGAGGTAGGTTACTAATAATTATATGTAATGTATATTAATAATAGTGAAATTTTATTTCATTTTTTGTAGCGTGTTGCTGCTGCTTTAAAAATTAGTTTAAGGACAGTTAGTCGTATTTCCGAGGGTGTGAAAAGTGATGCAAATTTAGAATCGCCCAAGAAAAAGCGGAGTTATATTAAACGTGTAACCAACACAGCGACATTGGATACAAGTGCCATTCGAGAAGTGATCTATAATATGTATCACAAAAGTAAGATCTTATAATAACTTATCAGAAATTTGCATTAATTTGTTAACTAAATTATAATGTCATATTACACATGGTTTCAGAAGAACAAGTTACGATACAAACTTTATGGTCTCGATTAAGAGATAGGGCATTATTTGATGGTAGTGCCACGTCTTTAAGGCGGTTGCTTAGAGATCTTGGATTTAAGTGGCTTAAGGACAATCCGCGACGAGGGCTCATGGAACTACCAAGTATAGCTTTGAAAAGGGTGGAATTTCTAAGGCAATACAATCAAGCCAAGGTTGAGGCCTTATACCAGTTTGTCTTCCTCGATGAAACTTGGATATTTCAAAAAAAAAGCGTGAAAGCTATTAAAACAGATGGTAAAAGGTATGTACTTTTACACAATTTGCACTATAA